CCGCAAATCCACGACGTAATCCAGCTGTCTGCTACACCCCTTGTTCCCCATACTTCTCTTCTTCAGGACGCTGATGGACTCTGGTAGACTGGCGACATGGAAAGAATGGGTATGTGACAAGAGGATCGTGATTCGCCGCGCTGTGGGCGCCGCGTGCGACGTCGCGCCCGCAAATGACAATGGTTACAGGTAGTAGATGGCGGCAAGAGGCAATTCAAAACCGAAAATGGTCATGATTGTTTACAATGACGGGATCTACATGAAGTTCGGTACTCCAATCGACAGGTTAATACGAATTAAGAAAACGCCGCGAACATGACCGCGCGCGGCGGAGCGGCGAATTACGATCCTCTTTACCGTCTCCCGGAAAGAATAGATATGGGTGTGGTATTAGCTAGACCGATATCTATACTTCCCTTGTCGCTGGATTGAGCGGACGCTCGAAACGCTGGTGATCCGCTGGTTGACGCTGTCGCAAAGTATGAACGCAGCCCCACCGTCTCTTAACTATTTTTTTTACTGAATTCCCGCGAATCTTCGACCGTCGTTTGATGATGTCATTGAAGTGTTCTTATTTCTGGTTAAAGGCACTTTTCCAACTCGTCACGGGCTTGCCCTCCTGCCGTCCCTTGGAAGTCATGTTTCTTCACCATTACATTAGGAACACCGTGATTTCTCCGATGACTAACGATCTCAGGAATGTACTGGTTCACTTCCTGATCGAGGCGGTAAAGAAGGAGGCACTATTTGAGAGTCTTTCGGTTGTTTTTCCACAAGGAACCGGAATGATCAAGAACACTATATTTGAGTAAACGCACAGAAATTACCGGTACCTTTTTGTATTGTCCAACGCACGTGTGCGGCATGAAAGTTATGTTACCGAGAACTTTGTACATGGCTAGCGAATCGCGCAAATCCACATAGGATGCACGGGAGTCCCATACTGCTTGCGGTGAGAAACTAAATGAACAGATTACACGAAAATGTTTCAAAGACGCAGTTTGCCGACGCAGGGGGGGGGGGAGGCATTTTGCATTTTCGTTGCTTCACTAGTTCTGGTTTACAAGTCTCACTCTGGTGAAACCTGTGAACTCTTGTGAAGCTGGAGCAAGCTCGTCAAGCCATCATGGTAAAACCTGTCAACTCGAGAAGAGGCTGTCTAGATGGGTCGACACGTCGATGGGAAGTCGTTAAAGTGCAAAATGCCCCCCCCCCCCCCGTCGCCAAACAGCGCCTGTTCCAAAAATTCCCCTAAGAATCTTCACCCGTTTTCGTAAACTGCAGCAAAACTTCAAGAGGGTGATTCATGGACACACAGTGTGGTCTTATGGTCTCTTATTGCCCCGAAGAAAATTATGTTAAAAATCTGGCGAAATATACACTGAATAAAAAGAAAATGCTTAGCGTTGACAGCTCCCCTCGGTGCGCTAGGTGCTAGAATATCCTGAAATTCGAAGGAGGCGCCTATTTCAAGCAGCACCTCTATTTTACTCAAAGATACATTCTGTGAATGCAGTTTGAGAGCCTTGAGCTCAGGGCATCTCCTAGCTCTTTGGAGATCTTCTGCCAAATACGATCCCTCCCCCTCGAAAAATTTTCTCTTCTAGTATTGCTCCCTCCCACAATCGAAAAATCATCGTAGCAAAGTTTCATTTGCGGGAGCTTGTTGCCATATAAAGACCGTGGGGGGTAAGTGAAAGCTCGTTTCTAACACTGGCGCACGGCGAACAGTTGAACTCGACGTACACCCTCCGCGCATGGATAGATTGCAATCTTAGACGCGATGTGCTCCTATTAGGCCCCTCAATTTCTGTTAGGCAAGGTTCAGACTTCGCGACATTGCGCTGTCACGTGCTGCAGTTGCCAGCAGCGCTCCAAAATCATAGATGCGAACGTAGCGCAGATGGAATTGATGGCGCCGCCCGTTCATGTATTGAGAGAGTACG